CATGTCCCAGACCTGCAACCGTGCCTGAAGGTTTGGATGAGGGTGCCCGTGATGACAGCAGCAGTGTATGAGAGCAGTCCAGCCTGGGAAGTTAGCCATGAAGGAGATTTTTCCTTAGGAATAACGAGTGGACGTGTGGATGTGCCCCGTGGGAGGCCAGCCCCCAGCCCCTCTACTGGGCTGTACCCTGCACACCCGTATCAGCCCCCCCCGGGGGCTCTGCAGGGCTGTGCTCCAGGGTGGGAGCTGCTGGTGGACCAGGTGACCCTGCCACTGCTCAGGCGTTGGCACCCACAGGGCCAGGACTGCTGCTCACAGCCACTGGAGGGCATTATATGAGATATACAGCCGCCTTACCTTGAGATACGTGCAGCCTCCTTACCTTTCTCAGAGACAGACATGGTAGAGAGCATGTGCTATGGAAAGACCCACATTGCCTTCTCCTCCTTTACATCCAAATACCCATCCTGCGGGGCTGGGCAGCTGACAGTCCCTATGGGGAAAGGACAGGCCAGCGTGTGCCAGCGTGGGCTGGGATGGCCCTCAAGAGCTCGGGACCTTCTCGAGCTGCCCTGATGCTGTGGCACATTGCCAGCCCACTGCGACATGCCTGTGCAGCAGGGCACGGATGGAGGATTTTCTCTGAAGCCAGAGGTTAATTATGCTTTATTGGATAATTTTCAGCTGCCAGTCCTGGTAATAAAGGGGATTTCCTCTAGATGGCACGCTTATCTCTGCGCTGGGAGGGAAGCCCCACCAGCCTGCTTCCCCTGCAGACCCCAGTGATGTATTTTCAGGGAGCAGAGAACTTATCCCAATGCCTCATGCCCTCTTATAACACAGTTTTAATGCTCAACATCTAGACTATGTAGAAGCCTGGAAACTGGTAATAAGAAAAAGGCATTTCATAATGAGCATTGGTGGGATCGGGTTAGCTGGGCGATGCTGGTATCCATCCTGCAGAAATCAGGTCTTTTCAAGTAACGTAAAGCCAGATGTGAAACATCAGCCTTTCCTTCAGCAGCCCTCAGTGTCGTTTCTTCCATCTGAGCGATGCAGCTTCCTCTTCCCAGCAAGAATAAGCAGAGGCTCACCTGCAGTAAGTGAAAGAAGGGGTAGGGGGTGCATACGTGGAGCTTCAACACCCCCAGAGTGGCTGGATTAATTTTAATCTGCATGCTGACAGGCTTTCCCTCTTGCCTCTGTGCAGCTCGGGGCAGCAATTTCTTCTGGTGGCTTGAAGAAGGGGGCAGGAGAAGTTCACACAGGTCTGGAGATGCTGGGCATGGGTTTCTTGTGTGTTCCTTTTACCTACTGTGCACTGCAGAGCACCTATTTTATAGAGATGGAGAACTGTCCCTTGAAGCCACATTGATGCTGCCACAAAGTCTGCCTGGGATGTGCCAGGGGCTGTGTGTTCCAGGGTGCAAAGCGGAGATTAGCTTTGGGTCCTGGACCTGAAGGAAGATGCTGCTGGGGTGTGGAAGTGCCGGAGCCGGGCTGTGGGGTGAAGCTGTGACCTGGTGGAGATGCGATGGAGGAACTGGCATCCACAGCCATACGCTGGTGGGGCAGTGGAGCTGAGATTCACCCTTCTGTCTAGATTCAGCCCCAGACTATTACAGTGATGCCTGGTTTGGTAGTTTTTTTCTACCTGGCTGTCCTTCACTAGGGTTAAGGGGTTTGGCTCTGCCTTTGCTTCTCTGCATTCATGAGATACTTCACACACCACTCCACACAACCCCCCCATTTCAGGTTGCAAACTTCTTCACTGTGTTTATTTGGCTCCTTCCCAAGATGGGAACAGAGAAAAGGAGCCCTGCATCATATTCCTGTGCAGTAGCAACATCACAGCCTCCAGCTGACTGAAGCATGGTCTTATATGAGGTCAAGAGGAAAATATATCTACAAACCTGTTTGCATGGCTGATCTGTAGATATCAGCATGTTTGTGCAGGGCTGATTTTTCACAAGGTTACAGCAGATTCATCCCAACCTGATCCCCAGCTGGAGATTGCTGGATACTTCCAGATGCAAAGACTCCTATCCCCAGCCATTTACTACATGCAGAAGAAAATTAAAAGGAGTCAAACACTTTTTGTCCCAATCAAACTATATTCCAGTAATTTTCCACCTTCTCTGTAATTTCCTCCTTTGAAGGTCCTCTCTTTGTATTGCTGCTGGCCCCCAAAATGAGGGTTCTTGGCTGGCATTTCTGGCAGAAGTGGACTTTTGCAAACTTAGTGGGTGAGGTGGGCACTCGGGCTGCTGGACCGTTGAACGCAGAGAACTCAGCAGCGGGAATTTCCTGGGCACATTTGGCATGATCAGATGCTAACATAGAAAACCTGGACTCGGAAACTTCATCACGAGTTTCTACATCCTTGTGAATCTGGCCATTTATTTTGGTTCTTGCACTGGTGCACCCACTTTTGGAAAATCTGATTCCCTCCCACATATATACCCCTCTTCCCAAAAAATCCTCTATTTTATTTTCAGGGGATTCAGGGAAGAATGAAGTGATTTAGCAGGCTTGTTTTCACAGGGATATTTTTCCTTGTGTGGTAGGCACAGTTACCAGGCTGTTCTCTACACGTTGCCATGTGCCAGAGCATAATTGCCTTCCACATGCATCGGCCTTTGGCTAATGTGTTTTTTATGGCAACCAGGAGAGCTGGCTTTGGTGAGTCTCAAAAGTGCACCTGGTGGTTTATGGCTTGAAATCACTGCGTTTCTCTGAGTCATGTAAGTGTGTGTGTATCCATCTCTTTTCATGTCAGATTGCTGAAGAACAGTATGAAAAAAAAAAGCTTATATGAAGCCAGAGTTAATCAGTTGAGTGTTAAGCTGCCTATGAGCTTGCCTGGTGGCCTTCAAATCCATGTGGGATGGGATCAGTTATGAATAGAGAGCAGCAGACAAAGTTTTCGAACTGCAAGTCCAAACCCATGGTCCTAAAGTCAGATCACAGCACCTAAATAAATAGGGGGGGGGGGGGGGGGGGTTTTCCCACTCATCTGAACAGCAGGAAAGACAGGGAGACTTACTCTCCAGAGGTTCACGGGGGTTCAGCCCTGCACATGGGGTGCCTGGGAAAAGCCTCCCTTGAAATCCAGGCCTTTTTTGGTATGGATTTTGAGACACCTGCATTTGAAAATGCAAGTCAACAAAACCGAGCTGTCCAACATCCAAGCGCTGCAGGGATGGATATAGGGACTTGGCTCCAGTGGCTTCCAAACTGGGAATTTCACACATCTCGCACTATCTGGCACCACCATTCCCGCTTTCCTCCCTGTGCTGGGAGCTCTTGGTGTGCAGGCTGCACACGGATCTTTGCAAGCTGGGAGCGGGCGGTACGGGGCTGGAAAAAAGGTTGAACTGCAGGGAGCACTGAAGGTCTGAGCCTTGGATATGGAAAGAAGAGAAATAATATCAAAGGAAATCACATAAGTGGAAAAAGAGCCCCCTGGGGCAGCCCAGGCAGCAGCAGGTCTGTCTTGTTCATGTTTTCAGAGAAGTTAGAGGTCAGCCAAGCTTGATAACGAGGTAATACAGAAAAATCCATCACTGAGCCTTGGGGGACTTGTAGATGCAGTTCTCATCAGAATAAACGAATTTAGATGCTGCTCAGCAGAGGAAACAAGAACGATTATGTATTGCAAAACCAACAGATCATCTGGAAGGATCTGGGAGCAACGTCGGCTGGGCTGGCGCTGAAGCCCCCCCCTCCACCCCGCACTGCCCAAGGCAGCGCACGGGAACGCTGCAGGGCCCGATGCTGCCCTTCCCCGGGCTTTGCCCCCCGGTAAACCCCAGCGCCGGGGGATGCTCCGGCCACGACCGGCCCCTTGAGGCAGGGACACGGCCAGTGGCAGGGTGGGAGCAGCGATCGCACCCCGCAGTACTCCGGGGTTGGTCTCCCTGCCCTCCCCTAAATCTCCCCCCCCCGGCAAATAACGGTCCCGGCGGCCAGGCAGGGAACGAGCTTTTCCCCGTGGGAAAAAATTGTGCCTGGTCGGTTTTGTCGTTTTGCAGCTCGCAGGGGCTCCGACCCGCTCCCAGGGTGCTGCCCGGGTGGGGGCACCGGGAGCCCCGGGGGGGGACACACTTCGGCCGGGGAGATCCACCTGCTAAAGCGGTCTGCAGGGCATCGAAACGCCGACCCAACACGCCTGGACCAAACGCCTCATTAAGACAGGCGGGGCAGACAGTGAAAGTCAATTTAAAGGAGAAAAAAACCCCAAATCCTGATGGGCTGATGGCCTTTTTTTTTTTTTTTTTTTCCCCCTAACTTGAGACTTTTTGGAGACTCTCCGCATCCAGCCAGCTCTCAGCCCCACGCACGTTTGATACAGCAATTTAACGTGAAATGTAAAGCAGAGTCGGTTTAAACCGGGAGATGAGAAGGGAGGCTGTCCGTAATGAAACACTTGAGAGAGGAAGGAGAGCAGAAAAATTAAAAATCTGCCCAAGGAAAAATGCTTCCCTCCCAGCCCTGCACGGCTCGGAACAGTGGGACGATGACAAGGCAATCTTTTCGGGTAGATCGATAGGGTTTCTCTTTCGGGAGACCGCATCATTTCTTACCCCGGCGTACAAACCCGTGATCAAAACTCACCCTTCGCTCCGCGTGTGGACGCACGGCCGGGAGCGTGTGTCTGTGTGTATATACGTGTCTGGGATCCGAGCATCTGGTTTGTTTCAGTTCAGGGTTTCCCTTTTCTAAATCATTTCGGGACGGGTGTAGTTCAGGTACTTTTTCTCGTTTTGATTTGTTCCTGCAGCCGATCTTGCGTGGCAAAGCCGAGGCTAATACCGACTCGAGGGCGAAGAGGAGCCGCTGGCGGATGGAGGGACCGGGGCTCATTCACTGTCGTTTCCTTTTGGGTCTTTCCCGACTTTAACGAGGACGATATTTTGCCTTGAAACAGGCAGAAATAGCGTCGATGGTGGCTGATCGGGACGTGCTATTTCTCGAGTTGCGGCGGCTCTGGACCCGCGATGCTGAAGGTCCAGGCGGGAGCGGGACAGGGCACCGGCCGCATCCCATCAATAGCCGCCTCGGATCGACCCTTCTCCCCCCCCCCCATTTTCGGGCTCATCGGGGTGCCGATGCCCACGAGCACAGCGGCAAAGGGCTCCACCCGAGCCCCAACTTGCCGGGACCTCCCCCCCTCCGTGGGTTGCCCACCCTTCCAGGCAGGGGGAAAGCCGGCAGCCCGGGGGGGTGGGGGGGGGGGCTGATCCGGGCAGCAGACACCCACATCTGTTTCCCTTCGAGCCGTGCGGGGCCAACCTCCAAGGCAGGGCGATGGGGAGCCGGCCGCCCTGCGACCGAGCGCCGCGGAGGGGCGCGGGGGGCGGCGGGGCATCCCCCGGGTCGTGCCCGCTGCCCCCGGCCGCTGGCAGAGCATCATTTTTCTGTGTCGTCGTCGTCGTCCCCCCCCCGGCCCTCCCCTTTCGCCGCCCTGCAGAGGCACAAGGCGCAGCTCCCGGCGGTTCCTCGCTGCCATGAAATGCACCAAGTGGAAATTCAATCGCCCCGTTGTGTGTGTGGTCGAAATCTCTGGCAGCTGCTTCGGAATTTTTTATGACACTTTCGTTTATGTAGGGGAGGCATAACTATTATTTTACTTAATAAAAAATGGAAAGCGGTTCGGGTCTTTTCCCTCCCCGCTCTCGTCCATTTGTTCTTCCCATCGTCTTTCCGCGGGGCTGATGAACGGAGAGTTTGAACAAAGTCGGTAGGAAAGATGCGGCATCTCGGAAGCATTTCTCCCTGTTAGCTAATAATATATATATAAGAAAAAACATATATATATAAGAAAAAACATATATAGATATAAAAGAAAAAATATATAAGAAAAATTATATATGAATATAAATACAAATATATACAGCTGAATATATATATACACACCCATGAGAGGGAGATGTATGCGTATGTGTTGCAAACGCCAGGTTATCAGCATCGGAGGAGCATAAAAGTGAAAGAGCTCGGGAAAGATCACCCAGCCCTGACACACGCCTGCGGGACAGACTTCCCACCTCCCCGAGCAACTCTCAGCACAGTTATTCATCTCTTTTCCCCTCCGGTCGAGAAATCCTCCCCGATCGCAGCGCTGGCAGCGAGGGAGGAGGATGCGACGGAGTCCGCGGAGAAGCCCCGGCTCTGCCATAGCTGCTTCAAGTGGAGATGTGCGGCCGAATCTGCCCGCTCCTGCCCGCTCTTCGGGGTCCCCCCGAGCCTGTGCACCGAGTCGTTAGGGCTTGAGTAATTGTGACCGGCATTTGGAAGCGGGGCCGCGCAGCTGTTTGGCCCGGCTCCCCGGTATTAGTGCTGGAGATTTTATCACCAAATGCTCGCACCTGTTAACGGCAGCGACTGGCAATTCATCACCGCGGATTCTCACACTGCTGAACGCGGCTCTGGGGAGGGGAGGGGGGGGAGATGTCCCCCTGGCACCCCCTTGGAGGAAACCATCCCCTTCCTCCCTCCCCAGGCATCTTCCCCCGGGAAAGCGGCTACGCGTTTGCAGAACCTCTAAGGAACGGGGAGGGGGAACACCTACGAGCGTGGTTCGGTGTATCCGAGGCAGAGACAGGGACAACGGGCTGCCACAGCCACCCACGGGACGTGGGGTGGGCGGCCGCGGCCGTGTCCGTGTCCCCCACCCTGCGCCGGGGTGGCCGCCCCGGCCTTGCTTTGGGAAGGGGCGACCGCAGGCGGGGGAACGGGGCTCTGCCACCCGCGGGGACACCGCCGTGGCTCCCCGGGGGGGTGGCTGGGGTGTCTCTGCTTACAGGGAAAATCCTCCCGCTTCGGCTGCAGCCGCGGCAAGGTGGGTGTCCGCCGCCCACCGCCTCCTCCCTGCCAGCCGTCGGGGAACGCTGCGCCTCGTGGGGGGAGCGATGGCAGGAGAGCGGCGGACGGGAGATCCCGAGGCCGGAGGAGATTCCTCGTCCTGGAAGGTGCCTGGGGCCTGGCCGGGCCGCGAGTGGGCCACCTCGGAAAGTGGTACCCGACCGGGCCAGCCCCGTCCGCCGGGGATGGGGGACTCGGGTGTTCTCCCAGCACGCCGCGGACACGCACAGCCTTCGCTTTGGGTATTTCTCGGGTGGGGGGGAGGCTTGGCTGAGCGTTCGTCCCCTCCTGCCGCCCCGCACCTGCCGGGCGGCAGCATCCCTTCCGCGGGTGGGGGCCCGTGGGAGCCCTCGGGGGGGGGGGGCCCGGGTTTCCAGGCAGGGTGCTCCGGGCTCGGTGACGTGTCGGTGACGTGAACGTGTGCAGAAGGGGGAGCGGGGATCCCCAAATTCACACGACCCCTCAAGGAGGCCGAGGGCTCGGCCCTGGCGGAGCGAGGGTCTCCGCCGGCGAGGCTGCCGGAGGGCGGCAGCTCAGCCTCCAGCCCCGGGGGTGGGCAGCCCTCGGGAGGCGAAGGGACCCTCCGCGACCCCCGGGCGGAGGGAGGCGGCCGTCACATCCCGCGGGAAAGGGCCCTGCGAGCCTCCAGCACCGCGGGGTC